TTCTTCCAATTGTGAATGTCCCGGCACAAGTCGTAGGTGCCTGACACTCTTCTGGGCAGCCTTCTAAAGGGAAAACAGGGATAGATTTTATATTTGGAGAGGGGGCCAGGGTATCTGAAGATTTAATTAGAATAAAGAGATACTTTTGTTTGCAGGACCCTTTTCTGGGTCCCTTATGCCCTTGTTCCCATTGGTAAAAAAGGACATGACATTGGCCAGGTGGACGGCTGGTTTCTGGGATTAAAATGAGATCCAGAAAATGTCAGGAAAGGCGCCTGGCCCGCGGTGGGGAAGCGCTTGGGTTCGTTGATGTTATTTACCTCCTTGGTCTCGCTGACCACCCACGAATGTCAGTACTGGTTTGGGTTTTCCTTCTGGCTGGACTGCGAGCTCCTTCCGAGAAGCCGCTCGCGCATCTGTGTGGTCCCGGGCAGTAAGCGCTTGCTGAATGAAGGGACGAAGTACCTTTTCTTTCCTCCTTCTTCTGCGGGAGGCACTGGCCACCTCTTTGGGGAAGGGGAGAGGGACGGTGGCGGGCATGAGGTCACACTCAGGTCTTCGGGGATTAGCCTCTAGGTGGTCACCGTTCACTTCTCTCACCCCTGCGGGGAGTACAGTTGCTTTCGCTCTTTATCACCTTTGGGAATGACTAGTACCTTGTATTTCTCTGAAAATGTTTGCCCCCCCCAAATGCTCTCCTTCTGCGCCCACATTTTAGTGGGCTGCAGTGTGTAAACCTGTCCTTTCCTTCCAGATGAACCTGTTCCTCCAAATTCCTCTATTTAAATGCACCTTCTAGAAGAGAGGGATGAGCAAAGCCTTCTGAGAGTCAGTGTAGTGAATGGGTGATTTTTTTTTTTTTTTTTTTATAGTTTGTGTTTTCTTTTACACCCCGGTGAGCAGCTCAGAGAAAGAGCTGGGACTTTCCAAGAGACTCATGATGTCCTGCATGTTGAAGCAGGGGTGGAGGATGAGGGGCTGGGAGCAGGCATTCAGTTTGCCCTTGGCGCGAAGTCTTTAAATCTGGAAACAGTGGGGATGCTGTGCAGCGAGGGACAGATGAAGGCTTTCCTGGGGTGTAATCCTGCGTTGTTCTCTCTGGCGAAGAGGGTGATGCCAGCCGTCAGCAGAAGGACGCCTGTGGTGTCCGCAGGGGCACGTTGCACCGTCTGGTCGCCGTGAACTTGACGCGGTGCCTGGGGCCCGGCAACCCGCCCTTGAATCCCTCCCCCATGAGAGACCGCAAAGGCTCTTCTCCAAGCAGAGGACAGAAAGAAACTGTTCAATTAAACTGTGTTTGTTGAGACTTAGATGCTAGGAAGAAGGTACTAACTCTGTACTTCGGGTTTTGTAGTCTCAAACTAAGGTCTCATGTGCGTTTGTTGTTCATGAGTGAGAATGAGAAAAATTTCAGTGGTTCTTACTATTCTAATGAACTGTAATTTTCATAGAAAAATGTAATAAAAACGGAAAAATATAACTAAGTTAATCTGGTGGTCTTATGGTCTCTCCATATCATTCGTGTCTAATCACGCATCATCTTCCCCTCCTAGAAGAAAAACAACTGAATCGTACGTAATTACGGAGTTTGGGACCGAGTTGCCCACAGCCAAGCGTGCCCGCTGTGGTGTCCGTGTCTTGCGTCTGTGGGGGACAGCGGCAGCCGATCTCAGCACTGTTGTCCTATGGGGCCGCCTCCCCCTCGCAATCTGTCAGGCTGCCCCCCCCCCCCCCGATCGAGGAGGAAACAGTAAACTCTGGAAGGATTGGCTCTTCAAATACAAACTTGTAAAGTGGGCGTTCATGCCTTGCTGGGTTTCACGAACTTGAATCTTTTCCTTTCTCAGCCTTGCCTCTTACTCTCGTTCCTTTGTAGTCTTCGAGCCCACAGCTCCACTGCGGTTTTTCTCGAGAGGAAGTCAGCAGTAGTAAACACTAAACCCTTAGCAGGCTGAGCGTTGCTGCACAGAATTACTGCGCATAAGGGAGGGATACCTCCTTCTGTCCTCTCTCCTCCCATTATCTGTCTGTATGTCACCGGGCTAACGTCTGCGAAGGTTCCTGTCTTACCGTACCCGGTCTCAACTGAACGTGTAGAGCCACCACGGCCTTATCCATGTAATTTGGATAATTTCTTCCCCTGGATGCTTGACTGTTCAAGGTAGCACACTTCCCTGGGACACGAGTCCCAGAAGGAACTCCCCCCTTAGTTTCTAACCAGCAGGTGTCTGTTGTGGAATCAGACCTTCAGCGTTTGCTGAGTACTCCCCGTGCCAGATCCCATGTCCGCCGGTCCCCAGAGAGCTCTCAGCCGCTTTCACCATTCTCTCCTCTCTAAAAAGAGTCCATCCACATCTATTTTTGTTTCTGTCCTCCAGCCACTCGCCATCAACACATTAGCCCATCTACCAGGAGGAAGGCGTGCCAATACCCTTTACTCAGGACGAATCAAAAGCAATTTGAAACCGGGAACTTGTGAAAGGATCGTGAAATGATTTTGGAATGGAAAAGAAGGTTGGGCGCTTTCATCACAGAGCCAGGTCCATCCTGTGTCTTTGGTGTTCCGTAGTCTTGGCGGGAACCTTTTCCTACTTCCTCACAGCGTGACCTTGGACGGGTTTGCAACCTTGGACAAGTTACATAATCGCTCTGAGCCCAGTGTCTGCCTCTGATCTGCTGGGGATCCTCAAGCCTCCCCCCTTTGCAGGGTTCTCATTGGCTTAAATGTACAGGCATCAAATTAATTTGCACATCACATCTGACAGTCGTAGTTACTGTCATTGACGTTATTTTGCATTTACCAGTGAGGATGCAGGAAGGCTTTTTTAGTGACATGCCTTTCGGTGAGTCCCTCACATATAGTCTTCTATCCAGTCTTTTTGGATATTTTATTTCCTCTCCCTCTTCAAGTAGCAGAACAGGCAGTTGTGGTTTTGAGCCGTGTTCCCTGCTTTTTGAAAGTACTTATGATCGAATTAAATATTCATGCAGGTAGGGCATGTCATTTGAAGGCGGCATTATCATTGTATCCTCGATAATTGTCTCGTGGCAATTTGCCTCTGCATCTATGACTTTTTCTGACGGACATCATGTTCTTTTGATGCCCCTGCTGCAGTGGGAAAAGCCCACAGCGCATGAAAGAAATTAACACGGCAGAACATTACCCCTCATGAAGTGTACGGGTTTCTTTGGAAACGTCTCCTTTGAGGTACAGAAAGATAAGTGGGCCTCCTTTGCGAGTGACAGAACTATTCAGCCTTCCGGTACTTCAGAAGACTTCTGGGGACCCCGAGTTACTCGATTCTTTTCCTTTAAATGATTCATGAGCAGGGGCCTCCCAATATATTCCGTATCTAGTTAGAATGGCCTCTTTTCTGGGAACATTTTCCTTTTGGTTTTTGGTGTCTCTGGCCCTCCACAGAAGCTGTAAAGAGGAACAGTCTGGGTTCACCTAAGTGTGTAGCTTGGGGTATCACACTTACCCGCCCTGAGACCCGGTGCCCTCCTCTGTCTGCAGGCTTCATAGCAATTGGAAGATCAAATGAGATCCACATCAGTACCTTAGTCTAGCTTCTAGCCCAAACTAGAAGCTGTTACCTGTATTTTTATAGGTGTCTTTGCAGCTATAAAAGGAGGTCCCAGGGCGCCTGGGTGGCTTAGTTGGTAAAGCGTCCGATTCTGCCTCAGCTCATGATCTCACAGTTTGCGAGTTCAAGCCCCGCATCGGGCTCTGTGCTGACAGCTCGGAGCCTGGAGCCTGCTTTGGGTTCTGTGTCTCCCTCTCGCTCTCTGCCGCTCCTCCGCTCGCTGTCTGTATCTCTCTCAAAAATAATTAAACATTAAAAAAGAAAAGGAGGTCCAAACTCCCCCCCCCGTCCCTTTTCCTCACGTCACCCCCAGCAGGACATTTGTCTTGGACAAATGGGAAGGCCCTTCCCTTTCTATTTATATCATAAAGCAACTTCTCTGCCCGACAGTCTCTGGGGGGTTGGAAGTTGACCTCAGACAACCATCCAGGCAGCCAGAACACCATCCTTAGACCGGTCACCATCTTTCTGAGATAATAGCTCCTTGTAGTCAGTGACTACTTGTCTCTCTTCCTAAAGCATTTTATTTTGGTCCAGGTACAGGGATTCGTGGATTCCCAGACAGATGCCTGGATAAGAGTCCTTTGTCCCATAGGTGAAACTAACATGTGGTATTTGAAGTCAGGGCCGCGGTGACCTTGAGAGTGGTGGCCGCACGTGTGTTTGCTTTAGCTGAATTAAGTGAGCAACTCAGGATTTCTGTGCTTTTCTGCACTCATGCATCATCTTGACGCAAATGTTAGTTTCTTACAAAGGTAACTTTTCCCTCTTTCTGGGTACCGTAATTCACGTATGAATTGGAAGGGTGATACTTAATTTTTAGTGGAGAAAGTCTTCAATGAAATGAAATGAGGAAGCGAGTCTGAGGCTTTAAGGGTATGTGGGTGGAAGGCTACTTATCAGCTCTTTGTTCGCGCACAATTGGTTTGTACACGACCTGTACACACGTTCCGCTCAGCATGCTGGTAGTCGCACTTAGTGAAGACGAACATTTAAACGCGTTGCCACCCTTTTACTCTACAGTCGTAATTCTCCTAGTTTGAACAGTGTTCTTTTTTGTGTGTTTATCTTTCTCCGTATCACCAATGAGCAATTATCTGCCTGACAAGAGAAGAGACAGTTTATAAAAAGCGTCTGATTTTACGACTCCAGCTGTACCATTGGGTTCGCTTGGGGTACAGACTTGCATTAGCTTTGGGGTTTACGTGCTTCCTTCTATCAGGCTTTGCCTAATGAAGTTCACTCTGTATTCTGTGACAGCCAGAAATTAGCTGGGAAGTGGGGAAGAACGAGTTGTGCTATGGACAGAGAACAAGAAGTGAGCAGTAGTTACCCTGGATTTGAGGCGGTTTTTCTTCTAAGCGGTTTAGTACGCAAAGGATGCCTTTTAATTCACTTCTTATTTTCTCCTAGATTGGAAGGAAGACTGATGCAGAAAAATACCAACATGGTTCAGGTAAATGGATTTTTAATTTCTTTGTGTACCTTTTTTGCTTGGTTTATATTTCCCATGTTTTCCCACCGAGAAGAACTCAAAAAACTATTTTTGTGGTCAACCAGACATAGAAGGAATGTTTTGGATGTATAGAGGTAATAGTCAAATGCATATTTATACCATTTAATTAATTTAGTTACACGTGTATATTTAATAATTGTATATTTACATCAAACAGCAGTAGAACTAATGTTTTTTTCCTACCTCAGAGTAACTTTCTTCCAACTCTTTCCATACACATTTGTTGTCACTGTCTCTGTCATAAGTCACATTTTTGAAGCATCCGGAACAGGCCACCGTTTATTTGTTTGCAGTGCAGTGTATTTGGAATCCCTGTGTGTGATGCTGTAGTTGGAAGGTTTACTCCAAGCTATGAGTAACTGTTTGCCCAATGTTAGGACAGTTGCTGGTTCCGTTTTTTCTGTGTGGATGAACATTGGAGGTCTCCACTATGTAACAGTTTATAGGTTCGCTCTGTTAAATACACTTTCCTTCTTTCTTCCTTGCATCTACTCGTTCATCCGTTTTATTTATCTTGACGTAATTACATGCACATTGTCTACAATTAGAATAATAATCGTAACAGCCACCCCTCTTGTTCTTAGACTGTCATTATCCTTTGCCCCTGTTCAACTCCTTTACTCCTTATTCTCTCGTTTGCTATTTCTAAACAACACACCGTATGCTTGAAGTGCCATTTAGTGATTTCTTTTAAAATTTTAGACTTCTACAGATGGATATCCCGCTGAGGATTTACCTCTCGTGTGTAACCCTTTACCCTCGGTGCACACCTGCTCTTCCCGTCTCCGTTTTGTGGCTCTCGTCTCGTTACAGTGTGTGGATAAATAAATCTTTAACGTTTACTTGATTATGACTGTATTTGCCTGTGACTCAGCTTTGTGATATTTACGTTGAAACGTCTCGGGCTGTTCTGCTTCCCATTTGGTTGTGCGTGAACAGTTTTATTTCTCTGGAAAATGTTTGACTCTTTTCTCTATCCCCCAAACTCTGAAATTTCCAACTGGGACATAGGTCGTAGGATCTTTTGATGTCAGCTGTCCTTTTAATCCTGAGGCTTATTTCCTTCAATTTGAACAATTTTCTTGTACTATTTCTTGGATAATTCCCTTTCTACTCTTTCTTTTTTCTTTTCTTTTTTTTTTTTTTTTTTAGGTATTTGGGCCCTGTGGTTTGATTCTCTTATTTTCTTATGTTTTTTTTCTTTTTTCCTTTTTTTTTTTTTCCTGAACTATTTCCTGTCTCTTTGTGTTTCTGTTCTACTTTCTGAGAGATTTTCTTAGGGTTATTGGACTTTTAATTTCTGCCAGCATGTTTGTGATTCCACACTTGATTTTTATTGGTCTCTGAATATTTTATTTTAAAAAATAGAATGCTGTTCCTGTTTTATGGGACTAGGGACGGTTTGTCTGGGGAAAAGATCTGGGGTTCTTTTTAAAAAAAAAATTTTTTTTAATGTTTATTTATTTTTGAGACAGAGAGAGACAGAGCATGAATGGGGGAGGGTCAGAGAGAGAGGGAGACACAGAATTGGAAGCAGGCTCCAGGCTCTGAGCTGTCAGCACAGAGCCCGACGCGGGGCTCGAACTCACGGACCGTGAGATCATGACCTGAGCCGAAATCGGCCGCTCAACCGACTGAGCCACCCAGGCGCCCCAAGATCTGGGGTTCTAATTACCCCCTTCCTTCTTTCTTTCTTTCTTTCTTTCTTTCTTTCTTTCTTTCTTTCTTTCTTTCTTTCTTTCTTTCTTTTCCTTCCTTCCTTCCTTCCTTCCTTCCTTCCTTCCTTCCTTCCTTCCTTCCTTCTTCCTCCCTCCCTCCCTCCCTCCCTCCCTCCTTCTTGCTTGCTTGCTTGCTTGCTTGCTTAAAACAAAATTTATTTTACCTTTTAGTTCTGTAGGTGAGAAGTCTGATGGGTCTCACCGGGCCTCAGTTAAGGTGTCTATAGGCCTTCCTGGCGGCTCCAGAGGGGAATGTGCTCCTGAGCATTTTCTCGCTTCTGGAGGCCCCCTTCCAGGTGGGGGCCTCTTTACAGGACGTAAATACAGCTCGTACGGCATTACTCTGACCTCTTCTGCTTCCCTCTGTCACATTTTAGCACCCTTATCATTACATTGGACCCACCTAGATCATCCAGGATTATCTCCCCCCACTTTTTTTATTATGGTAAAAAACACAAAGTTTGCTATATTAACCATTTTTAAGGACATGGTACAGCAGTGTTACCTACATTGACGTTATGCAACAGCCCTCTAGAACTTTTTCATCTTGCAAAACTGAAACCTTGTACCCATTGGTACAGTTCCCCTTTTCTCCCTGCCCAGGCCTCAGGCAGCCACTCGTCCTCTCCCTGTTTCTAAGAGTCTGACGGCTCCAGATGCCTCATGTGGGTGGAACCTTCCAGTATTTGTCTTTGAGTGACAGGCTTATCTTACTTAGCATGATGTCCTCAATTCCTTTCCTGTTATAACCTGTGACAGGATTGCTTCATTTTTTTAAGACTGAATAATACAGCATTTTATGGCTGTCACACTTTGTCTTTATCCATTCATCTGCTGATGGACATTTAGGTTGCCTCCACCTCTTGGCTGTTGTGAATAGTGCTGTGGTGAACGTGGGTGTGCAAATACCCTTTTTAAAAAATTAATTTATTTTTTATTAAAAATTTTTTTCCCATTTTTAATTCAACTGTAAATAGCACACAGCGTTACATTAGTTTCAGGTGTACCGTGTGGTGAGTCAACATTTCTGTACGTTACTCAGTGCTCATCGTGGTAAGTGTCCTCTTACTCCCCTTTGCCTGTTTCCCCCATCCCCACCCACCTCCCCTCTGGTGACCATCAGTGTGTTCTCTGTAGTTAATGAAGAGTGTGTTTGTTCGTCTCTTTTTCTTTGTTCACTTGTTTAGTTTCTTAAATTCTACATATGAGTGAAATCATATGGTATTTGTCTTTCTCTGACCGTTTTGCTTAGCATTATACTCTCCAGCTCCATCCGTGTTGTTGCAAATGGCAAGATTGCATTCTTTTTCACGGCTAAATAATATTCCATCACACACACACACACACACACACACACACACACACACACACACACCCACCCCATATCTTCTTTATCCATTCATCCGTCAGTGGACACTTGGGCTGCTTCCATAGTTTGGCTCTTGTAAATAATGCTGCTGTAAACATAGCAGTACATGTATCCTTTCCACCTAGTGTTTTTGTACTTGGGGGGCAAGTACCCGGTAGTGCAATTACTGGATCATACGGTAGTTGTGTTTTTAATTTTTTGAGGAACTCCCGTACTCTTTCCACGGTGGCTGCGCCGGTTTGCACTCCCACCAACAGTGCACAGGGTTCCTTTCTCTGCACATCCTCGCCAACACCTGTTGTTTCTCGTGTTGTTGGTTTAGCCATTCTGACAGCCCTCTGTGTGATGGTAGCTCAGGGGGTGTTCATTTTCATTTCCCTGATGCTGAGCGATGCCGAGCATCCTTTTATACTCTTGTTCACCATTTCTGTATCTTTTCGGGAGAAGTGTCTGTTCACGTTCTTGGCCTGTTTTTTTTTGTTTGTTTGTTTTTTTAATTGGGTTGTTTTGGGGGTTAACTTGTAGGAATTCTTAATATACTCTGTGTACTAACCCCATTATGGTATACGTAGTTTGAAAATATTTTCTTCCTTTTCATTGGCTGCCTATTTCCTGATTGTTTCCTTTGCCAGGCAGCGTTTTTAGGTTTCACGTTGTCCCCTTTGTCTATTTTTGCCTTTGTTGCCTGCACTTTTTGGTGTCCTACACGGTTAATCATTGCCAAATCCAGTGTCCTGAAGCGTCCCCCGGTGCTTTCTCCTAGGAGTTTTATTGTGTCGGGTCTTACGTGTAGGCCTTGAATCCATATTCATGGTGTCCGGTAAGGGTCCAACTACTCCTGATGCAGACTTCTCCCCTGCCCCTCTTTTTAACCCCTTCCCCTCTCCTGCCCAGGAACCACCGCCCTCGTTCCTGAGCCTCTCGGGAGCAGTCAGTGGGCTTTTGTTTCCTGCCCGGGCAGTGAGCTTCCTGCTCCGCTCTGCTCAGCAGTCATATCTCTTGTCTGCTCCAATATTCTTTTCTGTTCTCGTTGTCCTTCGGGATTTTTCTCTTTTTTTCTCTCGTTACTGTAATTTTAATGGGGATTTAGAGGGAAGCAGAGATAAACGGCCCTGTTCCCTTGGCCATCTATCACTCCCCAAATCCAGATTGATTTTTAAAATGATATTTAAAAGACTTTTAAAAAATGTTATCTCATAAATGCTATTGTTAGGTTATACCTCCAAAAAAAAGAAAAAAAAAAGGTTCAATCTACTCTCCTTTGTTTCCGTTTTGTTAAAATGTCTAAGGCTAGCATTAATTGAAATAATCTTCCCAAACGTTTTTAAATTCAGAATAAACAGATTTTTGTTCATAACGTGAGGTCTCGAATGTTAAGATGATACCATTTCCTGAGGTATAGTTTTCTTATGGGGCGAAAATCCTTGATTTATTCTTAGGTGTATACATTGTATGTTGGTATGATCAGGAGACGACGTTCTTTAATGTAAATGTATTTTACTCGGATGCATCCATTGAACACCTGTAAGCCGAGGTAATGGCAAGCCTAATTTTTATTTGTTTTTCTAGTTAGTTTGTGACAGCACCTTTCTTTGTGACCGTATGCACGTTCCTCGACTTACAGGGGGGTTGCATCACAATAAACCCATTGTAAGTTGAAAATATCGTTAAGTCGAAAATGCATTTGATACGCCTAACATACTGAACATAGCTTCGTCCAGCCCGCCTTGAATGTGCTTATTTAAAGCACTCATGTGTGCCTACAACTGGGAAGAATCCTCTAGCACAAAGCCTATTTTATAAGAACGTGTTGAATAACTCGTGTAAGTTATTCAGTGTCGAACTGAAAATGAGCAGCAGAAGGGTTGTGTGGGTACAGAATGGTTGTAAGTTCCCCTCACAGCTCGTGGCTGCCTGGGCGCCGAGGCTCGATGCCACCTTGGCACCTGAAAGAGCATTCTACCTCACATCACTAGACCAGGCAGAGGGCAGAATTCAAAGTATGGTTTCTACTGAACGTGTATTGCTTTGGCACCACGGTAAAGTGGAAAACACCGGAACTTAAGCCATCATAACCCAGCAGCCATCCGCATTTGGCTATTTACAGGTGTAGCACTATTTCTTACTATTTCGTGACGGGATAAAGAGAGGTTAGACTGGGCACCGCCTGCTGTGAGTAGGTTCTCAGGGCTGTTAAGAGTGGTTTCTTTTGTTCCAGCAACTGTTTGCTCACATAGTTAATTCTGTTGAGAAGTTTAAGATTTCAGCTACCCTGCTTGCTGCATGGTCCTAGGATTTTTATCCTTGGGTCCAGGGATGGGCTTCAAAAAGTTTAAGGTCTTTTTGAAAATTTCACTGGTATTAGAATAGGCTTCGCTTTCATTAGCTGGTCAGTGATGCAGGGCTCATGTGATCCTGCAAAGGGTTGAGGACCCACTTTTAATAGATTGTTTTAGAGAGAAAAAAATAGAATGCCACTGATTAAATTAAATACGATTACAATAAGATGATGTGTTGCTAACTGCCATTGGATTGCACATCCTTTCACGGGGAAGTGCAAATGGCTGTAAATGAGGGGCCAAATGAAGAATGCTCTTTGTCCTTTGTCAGATGCAAAACATCTCCAGCTTCCTGGTTATGCAAAAGCCCCGCTACACATGTGTAACCAGAAGAGGGGGCATTTATGAGAGTCATGTTTTGGCCTCAGAGCGATGAGCCCCCTTTTAAATTTTTTTTTTTTCAACGTTTATTTATTTTTGGGACAGAGAGAGACAGAGTGTGAACGGGGGAGGGGCAGAGAGAGAGGGAGACACAGAATCGGAAACAGGCTCCAGGCTCTGAGCCATCAGCCCAGAGCCCGACGCGGGGCTCGAACTCACGGACCGCGAGATCGTGACCTGGCTGAAGTCGGACGTTTAACCGACTGAGCCACCCAGGTGCCCCAATGAGCCCCCTTTTAATCTACCTGTAGAGGGTAACTTAGTAGTTACCCTTTGTTTTCATCCCGAAGCTGCTGCAGTTAATTTGTGAAAATCAGTTATTTGTTGACAATTAAAGAATGTAGATAAATATATAAAAGGAGAGATGCGTGTATGACATAAAGAGTTGCAGAGTTTAGTTTTCAATTAAGAAAAGATGGTGGGGGGGGAGAGTGTGGCGCCTGAGTGGCTCAGTTGGTGAAGCGTCTGACTCTTGATTTCGGCTCGGGTCATGATCTCGTGGTTCGTGAGTTCGAGCCCCACATCAGGCTCTGCACTGACAGCACAGAGCCTGCTTGGGATCCACTCTCTCCCTCTCTCTCTGCCCCTCTCCAGATAAATAAATAAACTAAAAAAACCAAAAGATGGGATTTAATATATATTCATGGCACGCACAAAAAAGCTTTAAAAAAAGAGAAAGAAGAGGGTAGGAGTTTAGGGAAGGTCAGTTGTGAATTTTTTGTTTCCGATCTAATACTTTAATGTTTTTACTGACAGTGACGTAAACTGGGTTTGTAAGGTGTCTTTCAGCTCGAGAGTCTTATGGTTCCATTTTCAAAGTGGTTAAGCTTACGTTGCTCCTTGATTCTAGGTACATCGCTGAGATTTTGGGGGTTGCACGAAAGCGTCTGGTTGGGCGAGTTCTGAAAGAAGAGACAAGGCCCTGCCCGAGGAAGCCTACCCGAGAGTAACTGCAAAGGAGCCTGTCAGTAGCTGCAGAACAGCGGCAGTTGGAGGTGCGTCACAGCCAGGGTTGGGGTCCGGCCTGCTGTGCTTGGTCTCTGGAAGGGAGGCTGTTCTTAGGGCAGGGCCTCACTCACCGTCTGGCCTCAAATGCAACTTGACTGAGTAGGGGGATGTTGCTCTGATCTCCTCCTTGAGCAGCTCTGACTGGGGCCCTCCCTGTTGCCCGAAGAACAAGAAAGACCATAAAGGCAACATGCAACTCCGGGCAGATGGAAGCGATAACACATTTCTGGCCAGAGACCTCCCTGCCTTTTATTGTGGGAACGCGGAAGCCAGTTTCAAAGCTCAGTGTCCTTTGGACCAGCTCTTCCTTACTGGCTTTACTCTTACCCTGAAGGGCTTCAAGGCTGTATCTGATTGGGTAGTGGCTGCATCAAGTTGACTGATGCCCTGTTGGTCGTGAACTTTGACCTGCTTTGACACCCTCCTCCCCCACAGTTATGTTGTGAAGTGTTTACCTTATTTCCTTGCTTGTTGCCTTTAATTCTTATCGCTTCAGTAATGTTTATAGTCAAGGTCGGGGTCACCCATTATTTCGTATCCTGTGACCTTCAGTGGCTGTGTGGCTTTTGACGCACTCGCTCTTTTATTGTGGAATAGCCCAAGTCACGTCATGTGTCACTTTGATCCTTCAGGGGTCTTTGTTTTTGTCTTTATTTTCGGTAGTGGAAATATTTTGTTTTTATTTTGGGTACTGTCAGCGCAAAGCCCACCGTGGGGCTCGATCTCACAAACTGTGAGACGGTGACCTGAGCCAAGATCGAGAGGCGAATGCTCAGCCGGCTGAGCCACCCCAGCAACCCTTGGTTTTCTTTTAATCTACCAACGTAGAACACAGTAGACGTGCCTGGGCCAGGTATTTTACATCTTTGGTCCTCACACTGTCCTGGGAATATTAAACAAGTCCCATTTCCCAGATGAGGATACGGAGGTTCCAAGTGGCTCAGTAACTGGCCGGCTGTTTCCCACCGCATACCTGGCAGAAACCGCATTTGGCAGTAGGTCTGTCTGTCTGTTTGTCTGTCTGTCTGCTACTCCACGACGCGGAGACAGTGTACCATGCCATCCCCCTTCCTGAGGCAGGATTTGACAAATAGCCTGATGCTTGTGGAAATCGTCCGCTCTCCTTTGTCCACCATCGTTTGCTACTTGTTCCCAACGCATGGCACGCTTACTTGGTTTATAGTTATGTTTGCGACATGTAAGGAGCAGAGTGAGATTTAACGTTTTTCAACGGTTACTGTTTCATAATTTTATTGAGGATGTATTCCTGGTATGAGACATTATTAAACATGTCCCTTTCGAAACATAGGCTCTCATGCCTTCACAGGTCAGTTCAGAGCTGGGCTTCTGAAATATTTTTAATTTGATTAGTAGATGCTGTATAGACCCATAAATGTTTTATTTTATTTTATTTTTTTTTTTTTATTTATTTTGAGAGAGTGCGTGCACGTGAGCGGGGAAGGGGCAGAGAGAGAGAGAGAGAGAGAATCCCAGGCAGGCTCCACACTGTGTTGGAACCCGACGCAGGGCTTGAACCCATGAACCGTGAGACCGTCACCTGGGCTGACACTTCACCGACTGAGCCACCCAGGCGCCCCCGACCCATACTTAAAATCTTCACTAAAAGCCTGGGAGGTGGCTGGGAGGTGGGTGTGGTCTACCTTCTTTGAGAGGCGAACCAGCCCAGGCAGTGACCTTGTGAAACCTACCCGCCCCTCCCATCAGAGACTGGTGGAGCCCTTACTCCCAACTCCATACAGGTCTGATTTCACAGACTGTGATTTTGACAATTACCCATCCTGGCTGATTACACACAACGGTGATGTTTAGACTGCGGATGCGTCCAGGAACTTCTTTATGCTTTGCATCAAAGGCAGTCTTCTAACAAACAGTTAAATAAGCCTCATCGCCACAGTGGGGAAGCCTTCTAGGTGGGGCTGGTGCGTCCCTGGTGAGACTGGGTCATGTGGTTTTCTGGGACCGCCTGGCCCTCGAGAATTGGGCGCATGTGTCACATGTGCTCTGGCCGCACGTGTTTCCCACAGGCCTTCTGTGCTGCGGTGGCAACCGGTTCCTCTCCCCTGCGCAGCTGCTTCCAAAGTACTTGGGCCACCCAAGCACACAGGTAAGGGCCACGTTTTATAGGAATCTCAAAACCTACAAAATATGCACACCTCGAAATTTCAGGTATGCGGTGTCAGTGGAACTATAAGGGAAATTCCTTTTTGTTTCTAAATGTATTTTTCCCCTGGTACTACATCGATAAGCTCAAATAACAAAATACAAACCACCACGCAGAGGTAGACACCAAGAGATAATATTTCGATCCTTCCAGATTTTAGTCCTAGGAGTGAGTAGATTTATTAAAAAGAACAGAATTAGAACGATAGTGTTCTGGATCCATTTTTATTTATGGCTTCAGTGTTTTCCCCATGGTTTAAAATTTTCTTTTGCAACATGCTTAAAAGGGGCTGAAAAGTGTTCTGTGTGGGTAATACCAGAAGTGATCCCATCCTGTTACTTGATAGACCTAATCCTTTTTCAGTTCAGTTAGTACCTCTCCAAATCAGGCCACGGTGATGGGAGAGTATTAAAATAAACATAATTGCCAAAAGCTTTCCTGCGTCCTGTAAAATAACTAATGATGGTTAAGTCTAGGGGATGAGGGGCGCCTGGGTGGCTCAGTCGGTTGAGCGTCCAGCTTCAGCCGAGGGTCATGATCTCGCAGTTCGTGGGTTCAAGCCCCACATCGGGCTCTGTGCTGACAGCTCGGAGCCTGGGGCCTGCTTCGGATTCCGTGTCTTCCTCTTTCTCTCTGTCCCGCCCCCCTCTCAAGCTCTGTCTCTCTTTTCTCTCAAAAATAAATAAGCATTAAAAAAAAAAAAAAAAAAAGGACTCGGGGATGAGAAGACCCAGACGACATCTGCTGCCACATTGTGCAATGAACACAACTTGTAGATTTCCCAGTGCAAATGCCACGCATGAAGGGAACACTGGGAATTCTCTTCGGACCCGGATGCTTTGCAGCCTCCTTTTTTCGTGCACTGAGGTGACCCACCTTTGACAAGTAACTGGTTTTTCTGTACTTACGCGAAACTGTTCAACTTGTGATTTGCAGATATCTCGCCCTGCCAGTTGCTTACTTTATGTGATGCTTCGTGCACTAATTGAGCACGTCCCCCCTCTGTTTTGGGCTCTTTCACATAGGTTACACCCTCGGGCAGACAGCTGCACTGACCTGAGGAAGCCGCAGGCATCCTCAGTGATGCTGCTTTTCCAGTTTCTTGGAGAGACGTTCACAGTGCGGTCCTGGCATGGCTTGTGAACCGGAGTTCTGTGTTCTGTGGGGAGCGGGCGTCCTCCAGCTGGGATGGGTGACCGTGTAATGGAAGTACTCAGCCAGGAACAGGCTTCTGGGAAGCGGGGACCGTAATGTACTCTTCCTTATGGTTCTCGTATAGACGTCGTTCCGAGATCATCACCATCGCCATCATCGTCTCAACCAGGCCAGTGCTTTCCAGACATGGTTCCTTACTGCCCTTGGGATTCCGGTGTGCCTGGGGGCGGGGGTAGGGCTGCGGGAGGACAGGGCCTTCGACCTCCTGATCGTCCCATCAACCAACAGCTCGGCTTCCGTATGTTTCATACCTGAACCTCCACAAGGTTTTGTTTAGAGAAAGGATTCTGCTGCTCAAGGAAGTAAAGACTGAGGGTCACTGTGGCCTATAGAACTTATGAGAGGTTGGAGGATAGAAGGAAAATCGATGTTCACATAGTGAATCGATGTTCACGTTTCTCTTGTAGTGACACCGTGCTTCTTGGGTTTGGTACTTAACATAATCCCTCCAGTGGGAATTCCCATAGACCAAGCTAGTGGTTTCTGTAGACGTGTCTCAGAGGAAGTTCTAAGGTCAGCAGAGATGAAGGGGTAGTAGTCTTAACAAGCACTGGCAGTAGAATGAATCTTTAGCGATGGGTTCAGCAGATCGTGGTAATTGTAACTTCTTAGGGGCATAGGAGACTGCTTTCTCTGGGAGGGTCGATGTGAATAGTAGGAAGATGTCCTTGCCGTCAGTGATGTGGTGCATGACATTGAGGCTGACAGTTTGTGAAATCTTCATGACTCTTTCTAGATTCTTTTAAAACATTTGGGTGGGCTGTCCTAAATTGAAGATTGATATCGATGAGTCCCAGAACTGACCACTCCTGAATCAGTAACTTTAGCTGCGTCTGGGCCACAGCTCACTTGACTAAGTCAGGAACTTCCCTAAAGACTTTTGTAACCAGGGGAGAATGAGGACCTAAGGAATTTACGGTGTCTGATTCACAGTTGGCGCTCAGAATCCTTAGCCAATGGTTAAAAATATTAACTGATTACAGGATGGTTGAGGCAGGAATGTCCATATGTGAAGATCTTCACTTGAATACGTATTTGGTTATTCAAATGATGAGATTAGTTTTGTGAAAACTGGAGAGAAAATTCTTGCTTATCTCTATCAAAAAAGGGGTAAGTTATGCCCAATTTGCAAATGTAACAGGTGCATTAGAGTCAAATAGGGTCTGAGCTATCTACATACTTACTACCACAGCTCCTGGCCTATTTTCTGCCATGATGTAGGGCTTTATTTTCTGTGTACTGTACAAGCCACTGCATGTGAATGAGTGGTAGCCCCGGACTTGTGCAGAACTACAGCCCTGCATATATCCATCCATCCACCCACCCATCATCCATCCATCCATCCATCCATCCATCTATCCATTCATCCACCCATCCACCTACCCACCATAGCCATCCATTATCTACCCACCCACCCACCCACCCTCCATCCATCCATCCATCCA